TTTTTTTTTCTCCTGTTGTCCATTTAAAAGTTTGTGGTTGGTTGTTGATGTCCTTATTTAATTCAGCTATAAATTATCGAATCGGGTCACGACGCGGCAGGTGCTGCTGATGCGCTGTGAATAAATATTCAGTATTTTCACACTAGCTCGAATACATGGGAGAGAGTCAGAGAGAGGATTTCCCATATAATCGAAAAAGTCCGCGAGAGTGTAAGCACACGCTTGTGGGCCCATCTGGCCTACATTGATATAACAATACAATGGGAAAAGACCGAAAGGATGTAACTATAATGCTGTCGTTTTCGATATGCTTTCCATTAAATTGCAAAATCCCATTTGCCAAGCTTTCCCATATAGGTATAGCCCTCCCCCATCATTCCGGTTGACTGCTTTCCCGCTTATAGCGGGGTGTCATGAAAAATATATGTTTCGTTTAAAAACATTTCAATATACTGTTTGTGCTATTTTATTTCTATAATGAGCAGTAATTCCTTTATATTTATTCCTTTATTTCAATATGTGAACTCACGAAATTTGTAACATACAAAATTAAAACTGTAAATGACGGTTTCAAATCTATACTCTCATCGAGAAAAATGTGATTTTTGTTGAAACAGGTCCACCGAAAATCCTGATGAGGCCGCGATCGCAGCACGTGAAGACCGGAGGCATTGCATGCTTTTACTGCAGCGCTCATGGTGCACCAACACCCCAAATACACTGGCGGAAAAACGGCAAAAAAGTATCCAGTAAGTTTCTCATGACATGTATATTCTTCTTTTCCACGATTCCAACATACATTTTTTTCTCCTCCGTGCACTTCTGCCATAGATACTCTAAAGTGATCTTATTGTCTCTTTACTTTTCTCTGCGTTGTCATTCTCTTTCGCCCGAGTTACTACAGGACACGGAGTTTCCCTCGAGTCCCTCCTCCTTGCGCAACCCAACCAAAACTTTCCAACCCTCAGTCAATCTCCTCTTCACTCTGTTTTCATCCCGCACCAGGCGCTTCTACAGCCAAAAGAGAATTGGAAAGGAACTATGCTACGCTGCTTCCTTGAGACTCTTTCAAAAAGAAGCACCCGGTTTCAGTTTCCTTCAACACATTTTTTTTTCACCTGTTTTCATATACTCGAAAAGTCAACATCTATATCAATCCATCACTTTGATCCTACCCTTATTAAGCACGAACCGAATTGAATTGGAAATACTTTTGATTTAGTTCAAATAGTCAAATAGTAGCTAGTAAATTCTCATATCCAGCTATTGCTGCATCCATTTGGCCCTGAATTGTTAATTTATTAGCAGTAATCATTGTACCCAAGGAAATAATTCACTGGTTTTGTTTGTTTGGACAGTATCTCAGTCTCGATATCATACTAAAACCTACGCGAATGGCTCGCTACTCAGAATTGATCCAGTGCGACCTCAAAGGGATGAAGCAACGTGGGAATGTGTTGCTGAAAATGGAGTTGGTGATGCTGTTACCGCTGAGGCTCAACTTACTGTCCACGAACGTAAGTAATCCATCAGTAATATATAGTAATACCGAGAAATGTTGGTGACAAAAAAAAGCTGCTGGGAATTTTTCATTCACGTGTCTATTCCAATTGGCTTTATTTGCGAGAGCGGACAAAAAAGTCCGATAAAATAAGAATCTGTGTCAATGACGAAAGAGCATCGTCAGGCCATTTCGTAAATGTTCACCAGTAATATCTGTAAGAAATTTAGTTTTAATGCCAGGAAAATAATTAATAAAATCGATAAATTATAGATTATATTCTGGTATTTTGACGAATGATGTATTTAATAGAATTGGATTAATTCGGTCGGTACAATTTGAAGACTCAGGCCGAGCTATTTCCCTGTTAATGGGAGAAGACAATTTTTGAGAGAGACCGTCTTCTCATATACCGTGTACCCTCGTTATAATTAGTATGTACCGATTTTTTTTTTTTTCATTACATATCGTAACTCCGCCTGAGAGTTGGCTGCAGCACTCCTCTAAACATCTTCCTCGAACACTTAATTTTTTTTCTACTCCTACCCGGATCATGTCATGCATAATTAATTGCCCATTGTCGGTATCTTTTTGCTTCATCGTCGGATTCCAAGTTAATTCCTCCAAAAGTTTAACCTCGGCGATATTCCACAATTTACTTTTTTCAAACCCCCCTCGAACTTTTTCTCCTTATCCCGACTGAACCTTGTCTCATCTTCTTACTCCCTAACACTTCTTCCCACACTGTCTTTCTTATACCTTAGCCATTTTTACGGTAGAATGAACAGCTTAATGGCGCCGAGTCTAGTGGCCAAACGGAAGGTAGCTTAATGGGAAAGAAGTACTGCATTCCGAGAAGCTCTTGCCGACGAGATCGCGTGAAATTTTGCGGAGCAGCTTAATTGGTTTCTCTTACTTTTAATTTAATTTAAGATGAGCAGAATGAGGGATCAAGATGGTAGAAGCTCAGATGCGAAACGTACTACGAGTAAGCCAAGGAAAACCTGTAAAGTACGCTTTTATATAGAACAACGTGTGCTGATTCACTTGTACCATCTGACAGGCCTAATATTTCTGCCAATAGCATTTGCCTTTAGGTTAAAACCTGGTATGAGATCTCCATTACTTTTTTTTCCTTCAATCTGCTGAAATTTTTCTGTCCGCATCATCACTGTTCGAAATTTCGCGGAATGAATGTATCATTAGTGAAAAATTCCACGGAAATTTCACGCGTCATTTTTTCAGCACTAAATATTTCTCCCCGCGTAATAATAACCAGTGTAATCATAATATACAAGGGGAATATTTCTTCATCGATAAATGCAAAAATCGATAGCTTCATAATTAAATCTGCACAGAGAAATCTCTCACACGCTAGATTTTTTCCAATCAATAATTAAGTTTGACCGCAGCCAGACTCCCATGATTCCGTTATAACTGGCGACAAAGGGAGTGGAGTGGAATAAAATAGAGTAATCCAATGACTAGACATTAAAATCAAATTCGGTCAATAAGATTAATCGATAGGGGGCATTTATAACGCTGTTAAACGAGAATTGAGGTAGCTGCATTATGGGATACGTCACTTTTGCCATCATAATTGATAATAGATAACTGTGATTGTCTGTTATTACTCGACAAACTTGGAATCTTTCTCTCAATTAATGATTTTACTCGAATAATGAAAATGGTAGTAACGAAATGCAGGTAACAACTGTCATATCTATCAATCACGAAATATCGTCTCGCACTATCGAATATTCATTTAATTTTTCAATTCTATATTTCTCTCCTCGCGTCATTCACAGAAATACCCTATTAGCTTCCAATTTAATTGAAAAAAATCGAATTATATTAGTCTAAAAAACCATCAATTACTAAGGCGAGTGATCAGAAGTTATTAATTTCTCCCAACGCACACCGAATCCCAGAAAAAATATGCAAAATAATTGTCCACGAGAGGAAAATAATTGTCACCAAGAAAATAGAACATTAAATTTATCCATGAAATGTCATTTCTGCACTTGGTGAAGTTCTCAACGCTGCATCTCTATTTTCATATCATCACAGTAGATACTTGTACAACATATATGCGAGGAAATATAGGTGATTGCGAGATTTTTACACATGGAATATATATATAAAGGGTAACGTACTCTCGAGTGAGTGAGCAGAGCGAAGAATTGTTCTCTCACTGTTACGGTAGACCACTGAAAGTATATTCCACAAAATAGTAATGTGCGTGTTCAATCTGACGTGACGGTAAAAATCTGAAAACCATTACAGTGGAGTAAAACTGGAAACGTCGGACATTGGTACAGCAGGAGGAAGGACAAGAAAAATCTCAAATTGTTGAAAAGAGAAGAATTCCAAGAATATTCTTGCCATCCAGTTATTCGTGATATCGTTTCACACTCGTTAAGGTGGCAACTTTATTGTCAACCATTTCACTTAACTTTTAAAACTTGTGGATTTGGTACAGTAAGAAAGTGAAATTGCTCCAAAAGTACCTAGAGAATGGTTTCGTTTATAACGAGATTATCTACTGATTCATGGCCCTTGGCTATGTATACTCGCATTTTTCCACAGCTCTGCAAATTTGTGCTGTGAGAGCGCAGCTTAAGTCATTTCAAATGCTATTCTTCACATATTTCCGATCAATTCCACTGCCATTCGTAGAATTGAGGGTAGATTTACGATGCTAATGCTCCCCTGGGGGCCTATTCCCGACACTTGGGAATGTAATTCACTTCGCCATACGAATGTGATTCGTGGACGGATCCGCAACATTCATTAACGGATTTGTCATTTCGTTAGTCTTGCGATTCTCATCTACGAATCTTTAGAATACTTCGTACGGGAATAAGATTCGTGTGGGAAAATAAAATTGCGGGACGAAAGATTTTCCCTCGCGAATTTAAAATTCCCAACCGAAAATGATCAACGAATCGAGTTCGAGTTTCCCGAGGAATTTTCACTATTGGGAAATTTGATACATAGATATTTATTCAGTTTGCTTGTACTGACGTTGAGAATGAAAACAAAACAAAAATATCAACATCGATCTCGCATTGATATTCATTACGGAATGTCGCATTTTCAATGATTATTCGATTCAATGTGATGGGCGGTTCGATATAAAATCAATAAACAACGTGGGGAGAATGTTCTATCACTCTGCCATGCGATCCCTCTAAATAGAAGTTCCATTGCCATCTCAATTTCTCTCGAAGTGCAATAATAATTATTCAAAAGCAGACTGCATCGAGGTTACTCTGGTTGCGGTCAAATTAATGCTCTCATTCTGAATAAACATCGACTGATTTAAATGACTTATGAAAATCCTCTACTGCAGGAGTAGTAATAGTACTAATATCGCCCATCACAATTAATGATTCTCATATAGTATCGTATCAATTGATTAGAATTACATCTGTCATGTTTAATCAGTCATCTGTCGAAGATCATCTACGATTGTTTCGATAAATATGTCCAATATTGTAAATTAATGAATTTCGCCGTGTCCGATTGTTCCTTCCGTATGAGAATTTTGCTTTTACCCGGCAATGGACAATTCAGTAGGTGAACATAAATTGGTGTTCATGGCGATGTAGGCCCTATTTCTCTTCTCCATGTCCTCCACCCTCTTCTATACTATTCTCATCGCACTATCATTCACCCACTCCATGTGGATCACCGATTTCGCGTCCGGATGTAATCTGCCGAGCATTGCCGTGGATATTGAAGCCGTTTTAATTAATTCAAGGGACCCTAGTGTCCTAATTACTCCGCCTGTTAATTAGCTTTGGTTATACAGCAATGTGTTCATATCTTCATTCAATCATTGTATCTATTTTTTTTGTCCAGCCCCATTTCACTTATAAATGATGAAAGTATCGAGGGCCCAGAGATAATGAAATAACTGTAAAAATTACTACAATGGGAGAAAATCCTATGGTAATCTGGCAGGATTCTCAACGGACCCTAAATACTGAGACATTTTTTTGTCTATCGCTGAGTAATAATAATAATAGCAATAATGAACAGTTTAGAATATCATGGAGTAATGATTACTTATTTGTTCATTTACAACGAACAATTATACTGTCCATTGCAAACCGTCATGTCTACAGTAATATTCACTAATGTGCGGATTTTGACATTGGAATTTTGATTATTTTATTCTCTTTGTGTACAGAGATAAAGTATGCACATGCACAGCAGTGACATCGTCGGGCTCAAGCTGTCAGTATATGCATGTGGATTATGTACTTTTGGTAATGCGCAACCAAACTAATTTCAAATATGGAATGGTTTTAATGGTCCCTCGTAACCGTACTTGGGACGGTTCCTCTTATTGCTGTAGACTAGAATATCTTATACACCATGAGATGCCGTTAAGAACCTCAACATTTTGCCCAACCACCAACCAACCCTCAACCAGTGAGTTACCAATGGTAAAACCTCCCCCTCCCTCCCTCGTTTTCTCTTTAACGACTCAAGACAATGTTCTATGGTTTACCCAAGTGACGCAGAGTAATCATCCCTCGGTGTAAAATATTAATAGACGTATCAAATTATTTATTCTCAAAGGTGGACCATTAATCTCCGCAATACTCTCCCGGAGTGCGAATATGAAAATCAATAAATGGATGATGCACATGAAACTCTATAGATATATCCAAAATGCATGTCAAATTTTTCAATGGCGTTTTGAACTGTCTTTGTGATAATGAATGGAGCGGAGTTAATTAATCTGGTAGTTCTGACAGTTAGGAAAGCCGGATGAATCCCATCACTCATCCCATCAGCGTATCTATTATGATAATTTCTCTTCTAGTTTTTTTTTTTTTTCTGAATTTGGGAGCACTCGGTTGCAATTCATCTGCGATGGATCATGTGATGCTTTCATACTGAGAATAAGACCATGATGAAGACGGACATGGTGAAAGGATCGCGTGACGTGGAAACGCGAATGAATGCCAAGAGTGAGAAGTTGCATCGAGCTTAGTGTAG